TATATATATATATATATATATATATATATATATATATATATATATATATATATATATATAAGGATCCCTCTGTACACCTGTAATCATTGCTCGGCCGGCTAGTCTCTATTTGTCGCTCTCTGGCGCTTGCAAGTGTCGCTGACTTTAGGCAGCTTTCGTTTCTTATTTTCAACTCAGCCAACAAGTCCCCTGTGTTGAGAAGAAGTGTCCCTGCTGTTCGTGGGGAACTCGTAAAGTAGAATAATACATGAACCATGAGTTGTAGGGTGTTTGGTGAGGGTTGAACAGACGACCCATACCATTATTACTGAAAGGTGGTGGGCGTAACAGAAAAGGACGGTAGAACACCATTCTGCATTCTTCCTGAAAACAGAGTAAAAGTCATCTCTGACAAATGTTTCAGATCTTTCAGATGTTATTATTTTTATTCTTGGCACATCGAACTATTTGGAACTAGTGAAGGCCGAACCTGCTGGTTTTCATTCAGTCGAATTTCTGATGCACTCTTTCAGAAATTCTGCATTCGATCGATGACCGAAGGTTCTCCGAATTTTCAGAAATTCCTCCTAATCCTTCTGGGACACCAATGGGTAACGTTAAACGGTTACTAGTCAACGCAAAACTTGAAGATAAATTTTCATTGTTGTATGGCTTATAAAACTTGCGATTTTGTGAAATTCCTCTTGCTGTGACGACGGTGCCTTTGCTAATATTGTTTTTTATTTTGGTATGGCGAATGAATATTTTTGAATAGTTTATCTTTTTTTCAAAAGGTTCAGCCATGTGAATATCTCTTTTCATAATTGTGTATGTTTGTTAGAAAGACAGCTTTATAAAATTAATCAATACCTACAGGCCGAGATGGTTGCTCTTCCCGAAAGTTTACCAGCCACAGCAGCGGTCCTTGTTTTGCTAGAAGAAGGTGTGTTTGAACGCTGTACAGATATATACTTTTTGCTTGTTTCAAAAGCTCCACTTTTTTTTGGTTGACTACCTCATTACTCAGATTCCTTGGCTTCGAATGGTGGACCCTCTCAGAGCCATTCTGGTGTAATCGATACGTTTCTTTACGCTCATGTTGGCAGTAAGATTTCCACTTGCTTTCTTTTTTGCAGATGATTACCTCTAGTTTCATTTCTTTACTTCAGAAATAAACAAGGACGATTTTTATGACTTTGTCTCTATAGCCGTTCAGTCTGAAGAAGCTCTCAAAGCACTTTGCGGTGTCGCTTATAAAGCTGCCAAGATTGGTGGGACTGTAGCCGTCCATGCTTCAGGTATTTTAGTGGAAATTACTGAGCTTGAAGTGTAGGATCAATTTCAATCTGCTTAGGAATCTCTCCTGAACTAGTAGCCAGGAAGGTCCGTGCATCTGGTTTTGTTACTGGCGATGGAGGGACTTTGGGAGACGGTGAGGAGAGAGCTCAGAACCTTTCCTTTTTGTTAATCGTGCGACAAAGGAGATTTTTAAACTTCACAATTGCCTAGGAGCAACGGTGACCGGATCAAAACCTTCGTTCCACGGCGAAAGTGTACCGCTCAATATACACAATGTGCGTTATAATGTTTTGTACTTGTTGGATAACCGAGACTGAATTTCTGCACATCGTTTTTCAAGGCAAAAAAGATTTCTGCTGCCGATGATGACATCGTAGACGAAAATGATTTACTTGAACCAGAGGACTTCAAGAAACCGCAGGGCGACGATCTCAAAGGTATAGTTACGTTGGGTCACATTCAAATCTTTTCAAACTATGTTCCACTATGGTTGCCTAACAGGTGGGGATCTTGCGATGATAAGAAGGGCGCCTTATACATTTACGGTAATCTCTCCCGTTAACTCATCCATCTATTGTACCAAGCCCTACTTTGGACCCAATGTACATCCCCTGACCGCAGAGATCAGGAGTTCCGTAACCTTCGCTCTTGAAAAGCCCTCTAGAGGACTGTTCGTTTCCTTTCTCAAGCAGATGGTGATCGCTAGGAAGAATTCCAATAACCGTAGGGTTGATTGAATGCGCATACCATGAAACTTCATGAACGTCTAGCCGTCTCAAGACTGAAAACTTGTTCCGATCTCACAGGGAAATTTCGGGTTCACGCTCCCTAGGTCTTTAGAAGATGTTATCCTCGTAGCTATACAAGTAGCGGATAAGCACCTAGGAAAAAGGATACCCTGATATCTAGTCTTCCTCGATCTCTAGAGAGCGATAGAAGGCTGTTCGTGAAAGTCAAACGAAAAATTTCCCCAAATCTTGTCTAGCTGCGAGGATGACATACGTTAAAGACTTAGGGAGTGTGAAGCCGAAATTTTCCTGTGAAATCGGGGCAAGTTCACTCATGTCAGTCTCGAGTCGACTAGACGTTCATAAAGCTTCATGGTAAGCGCATTCAATCATGGATTCCGATTCTTCATTCAGCAGTTATGGTATTCAGGAATGGATGATCTACCTATTGCGTGCTTTTCTAACACCTTCCATGCCTCGTCTGGAACCTCTTCTGTATCTTTCTGTTCCCCAACCTTCATTATTGTCCGACCTAAATCTTTTCTGTTCAAAGTGCCATGAGCCTAACCGTCGCCACTATTTGAAGGCTGTTAGCTTTTTATGGGGATGGAACACGGTTAATTTTTACGGTTCTCATTACTCCAATGTTCCGAGTAACTAGATACCGTTTTTTTAGCTGGAACTCACAAACTCCTTTTCTCCTCGGCCTTCCAGCTATCGTATGTGCTATTCATTTCCGTAGCTTTTAACATCAGCCTTGGCGAACCGTCATAGTTTTTGTAGGCAGGTGAAACTTCTGGAGCTCGCCTTTTTCGCCAGTGCTTGTATGCGGCTTTCTCGTGCTTTACAACTCGCTAGATTGCAGGAGCCAGAACCCCGCTTCCTTTGAATCAACATCGAATTTTGCTCAACATGTTCCTTGCACTGTAGAGTAACCATCACAGGCTTGACCTTCAAATTGCGGAGTCGGTTCTTGGGAATTCGGTAAACCAGCTTCAAGTTTCCTTCGTTTCACCTACTTTTGTTGAGCTTAGTGGAGCTCTCGTCACCGAAATCTCCTCTTTATTCTCATCCTCGATTTCTTGGATTGCTCGATGAATATGTCTGCTACAAGAGGATTACGCTGCGGAGCCAAGACTTCGCTAGTACCTTATATTCTTTACAGTTCTGAGGGACGTTCTTCTTACGAGTACATGGTGATTTTCATTTGCCCTTTTAGGCTTATCCGTCTGGTGGTGGTGTTGAGATGTTCTTCCATTTCGCTATCTTTTGTATGAAAGTGCTCCGATAGTATTATTCCAGCGAATTGTGGTGACACAGGTGAAGGGAAGAAAAGGCGTGCCTGTAAGAACTGTACATGTGGGCTAGCAGAACAGGAAGAGGCCGAGAAAATGTCACAACCTCGGAGCAAAGGCTGCGGCAAAGTAAGGATTTCGTGCAGTTCTCTCGTTTTTGCGCTTTTGCTTAACGAAGGGTTTTCTCTGTTGGTTCTTTGCGCTTGAACTATAATGCAAAAGAGTGTATGTGGGAGAAAATAAATTGAAGCTCAATATCGTTTGAAACTTTTTCAGTGTGCGTTAGGTGATGCGTTCCGATGTTCAACATGCCCCTACCTGGGAATGCCACCGTTCAAGCCTGGAGAAAAGATCAAACTGGATACAGTGGATGATTTTTGAAACTTTTCATTTCGTGCAATTTCATTTAGTGACTCTAATCGTGTTAGAAAACTGATGTTGTGATAGTGTTAATATAGTGATTTATTTCCGTGAAAATAAAACTTAATTAAATACTATATTGGATTTCTTTATAAGTCTACATGGTCTTCCTGCCAATGGCATGTTTCTCTATTTCATGAATTGTGGCGGTAAATGTGGCATTTCTGATTCTCACGTATCACCTGGTAGTAGTCACACATAACGTGTGTACGGGAATATCAACGAACAGATGATTTCGCTTCTGTCGTTGACAGAGTTTCAGCGACCCCACGTGATACATTGTATACGCGCCCTTGCTGCGCTCCCATTGTCCCATCGATTCGTCGTACGAAAGCTAGTTTATCATTTCAACCTCATTTCTGATTCCACTTAACGAACCCATCCATCAGTGATGGTACGTAACCCCCGTTCAGTTCCCTTTGGATACTCAGTCTCGGACATCAAATCTTCTCAGAGCCTGTCTGTCGAGACCCAGTATACTCTACCCAACAAATAGATTCTTACCGAAACTTCACATACTACTACTAGTCGTTAATTAACACATACAAGCTGTAAACAATTACGGCGCCCACACCACATTCTGTGACTTGGCCTTAATTCAGTAATTTATCGTACGTCTAACATTTTGGTGGGAATTTGGTTGTGGATAGGTTTTGGCTTAGGCCTTTGCTTATTCTGTTGGAGCTATGAGGAAGGCATGAAAGTGCTATCCACTTGGGAACGTGTTGACGAAGACTACTTACTATTCAGCCTACTTTCGCATTTCACATATTCAAAAGGTTGGGTTGACTATAATGGAAGTGCAAAACGCCATCGTGACAACTGTCTCGTTAGAATAAGCTCCCGAACATCGAAATAGTGAATCGTCGTGGCTCGACTCTCAGTGCCGTTTGGTCGCCCTTTTTTTGTTTGCAAATCGGTAGTGTGATAACGCTTTACGAAGTATTTCCACGGTTATTGATCATGCGACAGTTGAGGAATTGCCCTGTGCGTGTGGTACTTGAGAAGTGAACTTAATTTGTTTTCTTCACTTTTTTTCTCGCTCAACGTCACACAGTTGTCTAGCAACCTCACTCACGTTTGTTAAGCTGATTTATGCCGTACTGCGAATAACATCGAAGGTTTGTTTGAGTGCGCTGTTTCTGAGCGAATTTAATTTTGATTATTTCTGAAACTAGACAGAAGGTTCAAATGCATTGGGAATGAATATTTAAGCAACTTCTATTAGTGCTATGCTCTCATGCCGATTACACGTCTCAACATCGTGTTTATCTATTCTCGTACTATTTTCCAATCGTTTATTGTTAATTATTTCTTGCAGTCGCTTTCCGCTGTGGCCAAGTGGCCAAAATGTCGGAAAAATGCCAGGAACCCATACACAGCGGGCATTTTATGACATCAAATCCCCACACTGAACCACAACCAGACGACGAAGATGAGGACGTTGAAGTGAGTACTCTCATTGTACAAGTACTTCTTCCTTTTAGATAATTTCATATTTGAACATACTTTGAACAAAGAATACTCCATGCGCATGATCTCAACACTTCGATAAGCTAAATTAGATTGTCGGTTGCTTTTTTTGGTCAGCTGTTTTAAAGACAAAAAAATTAAGTGGCCGATAATGGACTGGTTATTACTGTACAATTTGCAAAAAACTGAAAAGAATCGGATACTTGTCTTATTGTTGGCCTCATTCGAAATTTTAAGTGTACTCGAACCGAATAAAAAAGGATGTTCGATCTCGACTGCTGGCATAAGAGGAGTTCTTATTGTTAGTACTCAAAGATAAAGTGGTTATTACTTTACGATTCGCATTATGTTGGTTGGGAGAAATAGAGGTGTTGATTCATTGTAAGTCTCGACCATTGGTACAGGGAGGGTACACGATACCGAAAGAGAAACTCCGTTTACTCTTTAGTTTGCCACAGATTGAATGAACTGGAATGGTTGCTTCACTTTGGTTTTGACCCATTGTAGTAGGGGTTCACGATACTCGATGCTGGACAAAGCTTTTGAATATACGGCAGAAGTTTGAAATGCATGAGTTGGCTGCTCCGATGATCGCTTTGACCATAGGCAGAGAAGGGCTTCTCGGTA